ATAGCACATTTCTGGGGAATTGAATTAATTGAATTGAATTGAATAAAAAAAAACCATTCTCTGGAAAAGGCAAAATCCGTCGAGAAATTTCCCGAAGCCGCGACGGATTAAGTACGTCGCGGCTGAGGTAAAGGACGAGATACTAGAATGAATTAATTGCAATTTTATTGGGTCTGTACGGAAAAAATTTTGGACCCCTAAAATGGTACAATGTCCGAAAATTTTTTGGCGCCGGGGGGGGGAGGTCGCCAAAAATAAATTGTTCGGAGAAAAATTTTTGGAGCCTATTTTTAGTGGAGCAAAGGGGCCCAAAGTGGCCGATTGACGGAGGGCCCCCAGCGGTTGCGTTACGCCACTGACACTATTGCACTATTAATTAAGATGGTTGTGTGGGTGGTGATCATCTGTGATCACACTTACTCCTCTGTTTACACTTTTAAATTGCCCACACGCTTGCCACTAGAGTTTGCAATGGCTGGCATACGCATATTTTTTAAACTTACTGGATAATTGCTGGAAAAAAGAAGATTAAGTTGTCTAGTTAAAACTTTCATTATTTTCGATATTTAAAAAAGAATATTGATGTTTCTGAAATATCAACATTTACCAAAAATATCGGTATATGTTAATTGTGATATTTGGTACCAGACTTTCATAGGTCTTTCAAAATTATTGGGGGGCACCCCTCCCCAGGCCCCCTAGTGTCTGCCACTGGCGTATATGAATTCTTTATAAACGTATCTTAGATTCATTACATCGTCAAATTAATTACAATTGAAAACTCAACTGTACCAGTTGTTTCAATGTTTGAATATTACTAGCCAAATGTTAGGCGTAGCCAAATGTGGGATACTAGATTTTCATGGCGGATACCTAGCCAGATTTCAAGTTTCTAGTATCCAAATGGATAGTGCTAAAGTAAAAGATTTCAAGCCCTGCCTACACCAATATATTAAAGAACAAACATTCTTCAATGATGGATTCTGATATTTTCTGTGTTTTTGAATCAGGCATTGGTTGATGGCCCATGCACGAATGTAGTGAGGCAAGCACTGGCCTTCAAGCATATGTCGCTTACTGACTTGAAGATCAAGGTGCCCCGAGGTGCTCGTAGTGGTGTCGTTAAAAGAGTCTTCGCTGATGCTGAGGTGTCAGAGAAGTGGGAAAAAACGGCATGGGCCAAAAAGTTAGCTGCTAGAAAGAAGAAGGCATCAATGACGGACTTTGATAGATTCAAGTTAAAGTTGGAGAAGCAAAGGGTGAGTGTGTTTCTATTGGCCTTCCTCCCATCGAGCACTTTCATCCAGTTGAATATGGAAAGCATTGCTGTAGTAACTTATCAATTATAACTAATTTAAGAAAAATGTCATTCCTTCCCATTTAGAAATCAAGAATCTTGAAGGTCGAAGTGAAAAAGTTGAAAAAAGAATCTAAATAAGTTTTTTTTGTTGAATGACAAATAAAATTGATAACATGCTGTAATGTGTCTGTATCTATAATCTTGTTTATCACATTGCTACTGCAAAAGAAAAGGTCAGATGGTCTGCAGGATCTGAAATTTGTAGTATTCCAATATCCACAGGATACTAAAATTTAGTTTTGGATACCAAACTGTGAATGACTTGTATCCCGACTGGATATTACAGAATTTCAAATATTAGGATAATACTAAATGTCTCTGGTAGTCTCCCTATAACTTTGAATACCATGAGTCTGCCTTCTTGGAAATAACCTGCCTTTGATTTTTAACTTGGTGGTCTAGTTGTTGACTGTTGAGTCTATGAGAGACTTGTACTGTATAGTGTACACTTACTTTGATGGTAAGTTCAGTGATGCCAAAATTTATGGTATCCAGAAGTGAGATACTGGATTCTCAGATGGGATACTACAGAACTTTCAATACTGGTATCCCAGTGGGGTACTGAAAAATATTTTAAATTTCGTACCCTGGTCAACCTCGCACACCTTCTAGGTGTTCCATTTGACTAGTTGAAGGGTGTTGTACACAAGGCATTTTTTAATACCATGGACTGGTGGGTCATTTGCCCCACTGGGTCCCTCTGCCCCACCACTGAAGAAGAAAAATGGCCTATTGCCCCAGGCCGGCCCTAGGACCTGTATTGAGTAAATGAGTTTAACATTGAAAAGAAGTTTAAAGTTTAACAAACAAAATTTGTTGGTGAGCATACTTAAACTTATGTTGTGTTTGAATGTTTAGCGTGCAATTTATTACAAATTTCACCATTAAAACTTTGTTTTGAGAAGCTGAGATTTTTTAAAAAATGTGTTCTCGGAATGCAGGAAATGCTATTTCAGAGACCCAAATTTTTTAAATTTCCTGCGAGGGCCATGCCCCCAGACCCCCCTAGCCAACTCGTGCCTGCGGCACTCGCCTCACACCTTCGGCGATCGAATACTATTCTTGGGGGAAGGCAAGGAAAATGGGCCCTTGGGCAGTTTTGCCCCACCACTGAAGAATCCTTAAAAATGCACTGGTTGTACATGCAGATTATCGAGTGTGAATTTATATACATTAAAGGCTAGTTTCCACTCAGGAAAATTATCCGTGGATTGGAACAGACAAGAAAATTTTTCTTTGTTTTGAAGTCATTCGAACCCAGAACTCACAAGACAAAGAAAAATTTTCCTGTCCGTTCCAATACACGGATAATTTTCCTGAGTGGAAACTAGCCTTTATTAGACCTAACCAGGAACAGCTGTAAAAAATGCAACTTTAGATCCCTGGCAGGAATAGAACCCGCAGCCCTGTGATTCCGGTGCAGTGCTCTAACCAACTGAGCTACGCAGAGGCAAGTTGTCGAGCTAGATCTGACCACAAGTTCGCTTTCCACAAGTTAAATTTCCACTCGATAATTTCCATCCACAACACCTTTCAACTATTCCTGAGTCGAGTGAGGTTTCGTCTGGCATGAAAGCTACCGTAATATCACAATGATCTCGATGTTCTACTGTGGTAGTTTGCTGCAGGGATTTGCGGGTTAACCGGGAATAGATACCCAATGGGATCTTCCCAAACGGCGAGTATGGAAGGACAAGGAACTGGGCTAGAGATCATTTCTTGTAATCTTGTGTATTAGGTACTGAAACACGTATTTTTTCTTGTACACCAAAATTATCCAATGTTGTGCATTATTGAGGTATCACAAGACCACATGCCAATGATAGTCTGTCCTCTACAGAGGCTTCTAAAAGGTCTTACCCCTGTATTCTAAAAGCTCAGTCACACTCAGTGAGTGGTTACCCCTGTATTCTAAAAGCTCAGTCACACTCAGTGAGTGGAGGTTCGATCTGAGCTTCCCTTGAGTGTCAATGCTGTTTTTGAATAGCTGGACGGTGAGTAGTCACATAGTATGGTACGGCACTAACCCTCCAGCTATTCAAAAACAACACTACTGACCTACTGACACTCAAGGAAAGCTCCGATTGAACCTCCACTCATTGAGTGTGAGTGAGCTTTTAGAATACAGGCGTTAGTCCCTTCTCTCCCACGCACCGAATTTTAGCGGTTACTTTCATCTTTTTTACCTTCTAGCGCAATTACGAAATTACATTAATCCTTTAAAAGCCTCTGCGGAGGAGAGAGCGAATGATGTCACTCAGTAATATTATAATTATATCAAAGTCAAAGTTATACATGGACAGATATAAGAGTATGGGATCTGGGTGTATCATCCCCCCCAATGAAAATTTTCATATTCATGATCCCGCAATCACCATTTCCAGGCAGTTTAATTAAACAGCCTTTTAGAATCGAAAACGAAAGAAATTTTTTTCAGAGCTCTGAACGCTATTAATTGCTAAAGAGCCTGGGTACGAGGCTGTCTTGTGATGCAGTTCCATACTCTGCCTTTGCGTGAACATTTCGTAAAGTTTGCATTAGAAAAATCAACCTTAGAATAAAATTTCCATTGTCAAATTTATCATCAATTGCTAACAGGTGCAAGAATTCAATGTGGCCAGGTGACCACTGAGTTTAGCATATCTCGAATGTTTTAACAGCATTTGTTTTTGTTTATTCTGCGTTTGTTATAATTTCCTGAGGAAATGGGCGTTTCTGTCTATGGTTTTATTACATGTCGCTGTAAAATGTGACTCTAGGCTACTAACGTGAATGGATCAACCGAATATATCGGTTTATATTACTGTCGAATGCAGGTGTACTTTCCAGCTTAGCGTCAAAAGTACCTGTGTTTTAAAAACGCATGGCACTAGCTGTTGTGAGACTTTTGACTGCTGTGTATACAATAATTATATATATATAGCCACTTCACTGGTTGGTTGCAAATTAACTCAAAGTAACTTCTAGTAGTTTGAGAGACGCGGTACTCCATCTCGCTAGCGTGTAAACGTCGTGACGTTCCTTCACCGGATAGCTTTTCATTTTTAACTAACAAGTAAGTGCTATTTCCAGACTAAATATATAGTAAATATTGTTAAATGTTAACCTGTTAACTATATAGACTTATTGCACCTGCTAAATGACTGTACTAATAAGAAGAAAAAAAACTGTACTCTATTCGGTTCTCTTTTCGGTTACACTGTACCGATAGGGAATGTACTACTTTCAGAAGCTGAGCGAAACGACATCTCTCTGTTGCAATAATTCCTCTGAAAATAGCGTTCCTAAAAAAGGTACGGATAGATGTTTTCCACGTCGCTGCGAAAAGCTATTCGGTAAACATGGACTAAGTTAGCCTGAGCATATCGGGCCATATTTTCCATTAATTTGTCAAATAGACTGCCTGGCATGGCGATATTCGAGCTAAGTCGACAACGAAGGAAAACAGATGTGACTCGGCATTGTGGATGAGCTATGCATTCATTGAAGCTAGGCCTTAGAATGGAAAAAAATCCTGAGAATTTTGACTGAAAAACCTGTAACGCCTAACGATACTCACAGTGACTCAAATTTTAATACCTCTCGCATAAAATAATTTTATTCCAGGAGGTCTGAAGGACACGAAGGCAAGGGGCAGATATTGGTGGGGCACTTTTAAACGGGTTCATAAATTTCGATTTCAAATTCCTAAAATCAAAAAGGGCACCCTTACCTCCCTCAGAATAGGCGCCCCCTTGCCCCCCTTAGGAAAGATAGCAGGGGAGGCGACACCCCATTAGCCCCTCCACCCCCCAAATTTTCCAAACAAATTGCGTGCAAATTGATCATATTTTATGCGATGTCCCTGTGGACTTTATTGCGCTTTCCGAGCTTTACGCCTGGTGTGCGTAGCGTACAATCTCGCTGAGATATAAGAGCTTGATTTTGGTATCGACTTGTGGCAAGTCTAATAGTATAACTGGTCTTCTCGTTACTGCAGTCATGCATGCAAAAGATCTTTATACGAGTAGGACCGAACCAGTCAACATGTATCAAATTTAAATTCTTTAAATTTCAACAATCTATAAATAAAGTATCAAATGTGAAGATTAGCCATTCCCAAGTGCATAGAGGATTAAAATCACTGGCATTGCAAAAGGGGCAATTTCTTCCGTCCACATTACTTCTCGTTTAATACTGCAGTCATATGCAAAAGATTTTTATACGAGCAGGACCAAACTTCAACATATATCAAATTTAATTTTTTTCAATTTCAACAATCTATAAATAAAGTATCAAATGTGAAGATTAGCCATTCCCAAGTGCATAGAGGATTAAAATCACTGGCATTGCAATGGGGCGATTTCCGCCCACATTAGAAATGGATATTCGTTAATGTTTTCGTCTGCTGTCGAAGAAAGCTATTTCCTTTTTCCGGCAGCATTAAACGATCAGACAATCTTTTTAAAATAAGACAGAGTAGACTAATATTTTAATTAATTAATTAATGCGTGGTATCAATGACATTGTCAGACTTTTTTAATGAGAAACATTGAATTTTTCTACAAAACTACTCAAATCCAATCTCTTTCATCTGCAGCATAATATAACATATTTTGCCTCATTTTCTTTGTAACAACCGATTAAGTTGTTAATATTGTTTTCTTATTATTTTACTGATATGTCCATCGCCAGACTATTTTATTCTGTCTATCGCCAGACAATTTTACTTGTGAAGGGAGAAGTGCTGTCGCTCAACGGATTAATTACTGTAATATTATAATCGAAGGTTGTCCAAAAACTATATGTGCACAGCCAATCGATAATGTCAATTACATTACATGCTCAATGCTCTTAAGATTTACCTAGAAACTTACCTGATATTGTGTGTGTTGTCGGGGGATTGCCCACGGCCCTGGATATCACATATATATGAAACTACGGCACCTTTGCCCATAAATTAAATGTGCATCTCTAATCAATATGAAGTTTGAAACTGAAAAACTGTTTCGTGCATGTATTGACTTTGCTGTAAATTGGATGAAATTAAGCTAAACACATTATCCAAGTTCATATATCCCGAAGAACAACGAGTTAATATATTTTCCATTTCAATTAAGATGAGTAAAGTAATAAAGCAAGACAATAAAGTAGCGACGGTTGCTTCTTCGACTCTTGCATTTGTAGCGTCGCCGAAACATAAACACTAATTTTCATGACACTCTGTAAACTATACTCGATCTGCTCAAATTTCTACAACACAGTTGACCTTTTCATTCCTGGGATACTATTTCGTGTACAAAGCTATTTGCAAAACATTTTGCGCACAAATTCAGATGATCGGGGGCGGCGCCTGTGAGTGTGGTGTGTGTGTGTGTGGGGGGGGGGGGAGGGGTTGAACACCTCCCAACTCGTAAACGAGTCGGCAAATTGTTTCGTTCATTCGGCAAAAATTGAACTGTTTGTATATGCACCGAATTATTGAATTGAATCATCTGAACTAAAACCAAACGTGAATTTGAATATAAAACTTAATACTCCAAAAAGTCAGGTGAACAGATATTAGGCTTGGAAATATGCTCTTAACGTGTGATTTAAAAATTTAAAACAGCCCAACAGCCTATATATAAATGCAGACAAGTTGGTTTTGACAGTGGTCATGGCTGGAAACACTTGTTTATTTATTTATTTTCCACTTGTGGGTGGTTAGGATCATTTTCAATCGCCGATGTAGTCTCATTTGAATTTTGAAATCTTCCCCTGAAATGCCATTTCACGGACTCTAGAGTCAAGTTTTTCTAGGGGAACATATGCCCCCAGACCCCCTAGAAAATTACCCCCCCCCCTGAAGGAGGCCGGCCTAGCGCCGCCCATGTCTGTTTCCCACTTAATTACCTCTAACAATTGAGGGCATTAGAGAGGTTAAGATACCCCGGTTTCGGTGTACGGGTACGAGTAGTGTCATCTTGTTTTACTGATGTCTGTAATTCGATCATACTTTTTCTGTTTTCTTGCAATAAACAATGATATAATGCGAAAAATGTGCACCTTAATTACGAGTAAAGGTACAGACATCGACGAAAATATTGCTAACCAAATCATGCTACCCGTACACGTACACCGAAACCGGGGTATCTTAACCTCTCTATTATTGGATGCAGGGGATTTCAAAAATGCAATAAAGTACGCACGTAAAAATCTCACAACTTGTCAACAAGATGTGTTCGCAACAACAGACTTGTGGCAAGCTTGCCAACAAGTTGTAACAATGTTGTTATTTTATCATGTTGCTACAAGGTTGTCAACTCACAACTTTGTTGACAAATTGTTGAATTGCAGGACGATAGCAAGATGTTGGAAGAACTTGTAACAAGTCTGTTGAGCTCAACAAGACAACAACCTTGTAGCAAGTTGTCAACAAACCGTTGACAAGTTGTCAACAAACTGGGAACAAGCAGTGCGAACACATCCTGTTGACAAGTTGTTGGAACAGCATTGCTACAAGTCTGCTGCAGGTTTGTTCCAGGGGGCCGTTCCAGGGGTGCACACGCATAGTAGACTCGTGACGGTCCATGCGCCCAAGTCAATATTTACGTAAGTAGTTGAAGTAGTAGCAAAGGGTTTTGAAGGTGAAAACCTATCTATGGGCAAAACCTGGCTAAAATTGAAGAAGGGCCAAAGTCACTGTTATTCAGTTGGCCAGTGTAAATATAGCACTCGATATATACCCAAATATGGGAAGGGCATTAAATTTCAAACAATGAGTTGTGCACTAACACTGCCGAAAGCTGAATGTTATCAGAGAAAGCCTGTTTTATAACATAGGTAATAAACAACTTGGCAGTAAAGTGAACTATCGTCACGTCTCAATTCATTCATTGTTACATTAAGAATTCACCTGTCACCGAAACAATTTGTAAGTAATAGCCACACTAATGTTGTTTTCGCAACTCCAGCAACAATGGCAATTTAAGCATGCATGTGAATTTAATTGCAAGTGGGGCCGAAAGTGACAATATTGAGACGCTAAAGTTTCAGTTTGCTTTGTAATTTATGCGAGACAGCGAACAAATTACAATGGCCTTGCCGACACAGATTATCCTATTTGCTTTCTTTACTTGTTTATTTAGGCACAAAGGCCACTTTGGGATTATATTGGTCCGCAAGAGCGAGAGCCGTTTAGTCTAAAAACCTTATCCCTTCAAAAAACAACCTTACAAATTAATATAGACAGCCTTATATAAAGTTTTTATATTTAAACATCGTTTGGAAAATTAGCCTAAAAGGTCGACCTTTCCATCATGTCAACTATACATGACATAATACTGACATAATAAGGAAGTTAGCATGCCGGGCAGGGCGCCGATCACCTGTTGTGCAATTTATGCGAAATGCTTACTGAATCAAAATAAAAGCGGCGCCCTTTGTAGTTGGTTTGTTAGAACAAGTTTGCTTTCGTTCCGTCGGGCTGTCCCGTTTTCGCGGCAGATTAAAATTGTGCTATTCAATCGCTCTTTTTGAAGAACTAACGAAGCGCTTCTTGGCATCAAGACGGTATAAGTACACGCCTCCACTTCGAGTTTAAATACGCACTCGATAGACGGTTGTGTCAGAGTGTCAGTGTCGGTCAAACTACTCTGCAGTTACGTTTGGAAATTGAACTCTGAACTGAGGTTTGTCTGCGTTTAACCGATTTGGTCAACACCGAGAGGCATTTACAGTGATACAGGTAACACAATCTATATAGTTTACAGATACGAAACGATTTCTTAGTCTGTTTTCATGATGTTATATCAACTTATGTGCAATTTTACGGTTAAACGTGGTCTGCCGGGGGTCAAACGTCCCAAATATACACATAGTACAAAATAGTGCCAATTGATGCATCGTAAATTGATAGCGTTTTATTCTCGTTGCAATTTTGAAACACTGGCTTTCCCCCTGAAGATGACGGGAATAAACTGTTATCAATTTTATTAATGCGGTCAATATCGTGCATTTGTGCATGTGTGGTTTCAGTTTTATTGAAATAATACTGTATAGACATCCCATACATAGCATACAGAGCGGTATATCAGCTAGACTATAAAGAAATAGACAGTGTTTGCTTGAATTTGAATAGGGAAGCTTTCCGTGTACTGTTATTTCATATAACTGAAATTTATATAGCAACATTGTGTTTACTTTAGTTGTGTATTAATATGCAAGCGTTATATGTAGACAGTGCGGGCAATATTGGCCAATATCACACCAGCAGCTGGTTTATATTTGAACCTCGAAACCAAAGCAGTAGCTGATTTAGAAATGCATGCTAAAATTGGGTAAAAACAAGAAAACATATATTGTTTATTCACAAGAATATGTTAGATTTTTGTTGAGATAAAGGGAAAACAGTTGGAAGGCAAAGCATATATTTACTCTTACTGTTTTCCTTCAAGAATTTTTGCACATGCCCGAATTGATTAGTATAAGAATGTGTTGCAATGTCTGCAATGTCAGTTGCATTTTAAAATTTAGGCTTCTCGCTTACATTGCGAGAAAATTTGATTGCACATATTTAATTGTATGTTGTTTAAATATCCTAAACATTGTTAAAGAAACAGCTTTTTGTATTGTATAGGCAGGAAAGAAATGTAAGATAAAAACAATAGCAACAACGGGAGACCTTTATATTATATAGCCTTCATAGGCGAACCGCTTGAGTCATGCCGAGCATTATATTGTTAAATATATGTACACAGTTTCATGGCAAAGCTAGCTGTTATGATTATGGCTTGTCGCTTGTGATTCGATTATGTTAAGCCCTCTGTTAATAATAAACACATGCTGGCAGATTTGATAGCTCTGAGAAAAAGGACAAGCAAGGTGAACGGCTTTAAAACTATAAACTTGTCTAATTTACTAAGAGGAATTGGGCTTAAGATTATTAAATTACTGTAACACACGCCGACCTTCACATTATCATACGGCCTGCTGTTACGTCTTTGCCACAAATGACAGGCACACATTAGTCAAATGACTCAAATAGTATTGATAACCTTTCAGTTAGGTTAAATAAACGATTTGATAAAATCTGGATAATGTCTGATCTTTTGACATGACCGTGAGAATTTGAACGTACTCTAAAAATGCTCTTTTTCGGGCGCGTAGCTTTGATAATTTATTACTGAACGCGTAAAAATTGCCAAGCGAAGCTTTCTCTAAACAGCTGTCAACCCATTTTCGCCTTACTCTTAAGATAGTTGACGTTGTCCATGGACGATGCGTAATTAGATTACGGCGAAAACAAAGCTATTTTGTTAAGGTCTTTGCTTTTATGAAGGACGGTGCACTTGAAAAACACTTCTCCCTTGCGTAAAGCGGCTTTCCGAATTAAGTCGCACGAAAGTTGCTTTGCACGCAAATTTTTGTCATTTTTTCCGCCAACTGAATGCTTTCGAATATTTCATTATTTGCCTAGTCGGTCCCATATATATTTGCCGCTATAAGGAGGTAGATTATTAAAAAAAATATTGGCATGTTTCCCAGAGTTTGTATGTTGCAACTTGTAGTTTGTATGAGAGTTGCTTTCGACCGCGCAAACACATTCTGACATTCACATTCCCATCAAATTTGAGTTGGCTCACATTTGATTTTGACTGAGAGTTGATGATAGTTTTTGCTCGTTTCACCGATAATATCCAATCAACTCTCATCAGCTTTCATGCCGCAAATGAATTGTTCTTGTTTGACTGGGGCATGACCGCATGAGAGTTGAGAAAACTCCCATGCAAACGTTCGCTTCTCAACTCTCATCGTGCAACTCTCATCCTCGTTTGACTTTATTTCCCCCTGCTATTTCATCCTTTATTTTTCCGCGGTGTTATTTTCCCATGCTGTATTACGGTTGCGCAATTTTCTACTCGAAAACTAGACAAGGACGCTGTTTCCTCTTTGGCCTTTGTTTTTACAAAGGTGTATATACTTTATTATAGTCGGGATGTTTTTGTCATGAGACCGAGTTGGCAAGATTTTTTTAAGCTCGAGCATTGATACAGGACGATAGTTAAAAAGATGGATAGGAAACAGCTGACGCAATCAATACGTGCATGAATACACGAATACAACGAATATAGTCAAGTTTACTGCGTTTTTCTTCCCGGCATTTTCCCTATTTTGGTATGTGTTTTTATGATTCTTGGTTCGAGCTTTATAGTTTACCTTAGGCTTAGGCCATTTTTAAATTTTTACCAGTATGGATCATCCACCTTTGATATACAACAAACACAAGGCAAACCACACTAATTTTAGACATAAACCCTTGAGACCATTCCAGCCAATATTGTAAAGTTAGTGCAAAATTGAGATCCGCCACCACACCTCGCGAAATATCTAATGAGTAATTGGCCCATCCCTTATTGTGATAAAGATGTACTTTGTCTTGATGTTTATTTTGGGTCAAGATTCATCAGACCTTACGAGACTCATGAGTCGGCGAGTTCTTTAGTTCAAGCTTTAGTTTATATTGGCCAAAATTATTACTAGGTACGGATCATCCGCCAAGAGACACCTTCCGTTTGACGGATAATCCGCCTTAATACAAACACACTAGACAAACTACAGTATATATATCAAGAACTAGCTAGAAAGAATACCGCATTAGCGTGCTGGAATACTGATCTAAATCGTGACTCATCATTTTCAGCCGGGTCATGACTCGGCGAACACTGCGATTTTGCAGAAATTTTTAATCCTTTGAAAATGGCAGTCTTGAAAAAATGTTTTTAGTTTTAGACTCAAGCCCCGTTTACACTACGCTCGATTTTTGGTACCGTACCACTTTTTTGGTTCTTGGACTACCTAACCAAAAAAGTGGTACGAGTACCAATTTTATCCGTGCCGTACCAAAAATTGAGCGTAGTGTGAACGGGGCTTTGGACTACCTATTTAGATAGTCCAAGAACCAAAAAAGTGGTACGGAACCGAAAATTGAGCGTGGTGTAAACGCGGCTTCAGTGGCCAAGAATAGCAGTATAGACTTTAGCCGTATATAGGTATACCATGGACTGGGGGAGGGCCTGTCCCCCAGCCCCTGTTTTGGCCCCTCCAGTGAACCATGTTGTCCCCCCCCCCAGTGAAGGTTCCTTCTGTCTACAATATAAGCAAAAAAGGGAAGAATAACTTAGTTAAGAAGAATATTTTAGTATTCCCATGTCTAACTCTTTGTCTAACGGATGAAATACATAAAAAATTGTGTCTAAAAATGCCGAAAATCAAGCCCCGGACACTTAAACGTGAATACAAAATTTTCTGCTTCAGACAAGTTCCCACTTTTCTCGTTCACCACATCCTAGTTGGGTCCCTTTCTCTTGATGGCCCCCTCCACTGACAAATTCTTAAAAGAGGCCCTGGTTTAAATTTTACGTTTGAGGGCAAGGGCAAACGGCAGCGTCTAATTTTCTCGGAAGCAGAATTTTCGTCTTCGATTCATATTTTCTTTCTTATGTTAACAAAATCATTATGCATTACAGTTTTAAAATAACAAGTTCATCTTCTTTTTATATATTGCCTTCTAACGTAAAACTTTTCTTTGTTCGACCTTTGACTTTGCATGAAGACTATGAGCGGGAAATTAACTTGTCCTACAAGTTTCTAATAAAATAGTCCTGCGTGACTGCGGTTAATTTTATGGAGTTAATTTAACTGTCAGTGGAGTTATTTTGAAGACAATCATTTTTAATTCCAAATATGAAGTAAAATGTGGTTAGGAATAACAACACTATGTACTTTTGTATGCAACTGCAAAAAATGAAAAGAACTTCGACGTTTTTAGTGAAGACCGCGTTCATTAAAATAAGACTCGGGTCAAACGTCGCTCTTTCTTGCGCCGAACCAAATACATTTCGATACGACATATATATTAGAGCGACTTTGGAGCGGTGTGAAGTCAAACGTCGAACATAATATCGGTCGCTCCCAAAGTAAATCATGGATTAACATAAATATTTAAAATACATGAAAATAAATTACACATAACATACTGTAGATTAAAATAATTGATGCATGCATAAGGTTCGGCGCATGAGAAGACTTTTGACACGGGCATATAAGCCAATCTATATAAAGTCCGGAAAATGCGGAAATGAATGCGCCTTTGTATTGTGTCTGATGTAGTGATGTGCAGTGATGAATAGATCTGATAGATAAAATACCAAATTATAAATATACAATTGCAATGGTCAATAAGTTACTGAACTCATATGATATTCATCCCAAAGGCAAGTAGATTCATTGGATTTTATCTGAAGGAACGGTAAAAATGTCCGTCGGAGTTTTCCAATAGCACTTTTGAAACAGGCGGAATGACCAAAGATATGTCTACTGAGTTTCTTGTAGAACGTGTCCGCTTATGTCAGATTGAAGAACAGAATGTTCATTGTTGTAATCTATTCCCTGTGTCAAAGGGTGTTTTTCCTCTAATCAAAACAAATTAATTGATCTGAAGAAACTGTATGGATTGATATCGATTGACACAAATAAATTAATCTGTCTTTTGTGAATTGAGTGCTAATGGTTACACGTCATCTTTTCTACCTTTTAGATTAACTGTGGTATGCTTAACGTTGGGAAAAAGATGCTTTGTGTATACGGATTCAAACCTAACCATTCCACGGACTCTACGAGCGGGGAATTATCGTGGAACAGTGGGGAAAGTATGTCCGACAATCTTCTTAGCGAAAACAGAAAAAAAGTAACGGTCAGAATTCGTTTATTCCCCAGAGAGTCACAACCTTCTTCGAGTACACGTTGGTGGACAGTCACTCTAAAAGCCAAAAGCGTTTTCAGACGAAATAAACACAATGTTAAAATCACCGAAAATGTCGGCACAAAAACATTTTGGACGAACGAAGGGAAATTTTCGTTTGACGAGGAAAATGTTATCGTACGAGGGCAGTTGGAAGATGACTCGGTAGCAGGGAGGTATTTTGTGCTGCGTTTGCAACATCCTGGCCGAGAAGAGATGTGTTTGAGTGACGAAGTTTTGTATGAGGGAACATTAGCAAGGTCTAAGGACTCTTGTGGGAACGAGGACAATTGGGAAGTCACACATGATGCTGTAGTATTTCGAGATCAGACAATTGAGGCGTGAACGATGGATGGTACTCTCAATTAACTATTGTGCTGATAAGATTCAATCGCATTTCACATGATCACCCGATCTTAAATCAGGCTGCATTAGCCATTACTCATTAGGTAGTTGGGAACGTTAGCCGTTATTTAGCCATTCCAGTGTAGGAGAAGTGTTCGCAAACCTTTCATTAGAAATTTGACTACAGCATCTGAGTTGTTATCAGTTAAACGCGTCAAAAAGGTGTGTTCGCAACAGACTTGTAGCAAGCTGAGCTTATCAACAAATTGTAACAACCCTGCTCTTTTCCACGTCTGCCATCATGCCAAACTCTGCACTTGTAAACCTTTTATAAAGTCACGGTCATCGAGCTTGTTACAAGATACTAATAACTTGTTACAAACGAGCAAACGTTAATATTTATAGCCTTTAGTTCATATTTGTATATAATTATTTGCACTTTTCGTAATTACGAACAAGATAAATTATCCGTAATTCGTAAATGTAAGATGTCTTAATTGAATAAAGATAGTATTTTTGATATTTATTAATAACGACCATGGGACCGTTGTACGGTATCCAGACCGGAAAGTGATTGTTTCAAGCTCTTTTGAATTCGCCGTTGATAGACAAATTTGGCTAACATTATTGCTACCCAATTCACAAGTATACTAGATAAAACATGAGCAGCCGACTTTATCTGATATATGGATATACGAGTTTGTATATCAGATTAAGATCGGCTGCTCATATTTTATCGTGCTTATAAAACGACCCATCTTATGAGTTCATTGACATTGGCGAAGTAATTTTAAAAATAAACATTGTCTAAGCCAAGAAAATCAAAGCCGAAGTTTATGTAAATGGCAGGACAAATCTTTATGCGATTCCATATAAACAATATTTAATTTCAAAAAAAGAAATTGCAATTTTTCCAAAAGCCGTAGGCTTATCTAGGGAAAGCTTGCCTGACATTAATAAATACGTAGTTTGCATTGAAATTAATAAATATAGAGTGGTAACGAAACGTATGAGAATAAGAATAAAATAAATTTTGACACACACATAGCCATGCACCTGCAGAATTAACAGCGTCTTCAATCTTACAAGGAACATTACCGCAAGGCATGGTTGAAAAGTGTTCTTGATTTTAACAAAAGCGTTTAGTATTCACAATAAAGTTCTGAACGATTAGGAAAAGATTAGCATTTGTATGTTGCGAAACGTCAGGATGACCGTTCAAAAACCATGATAAACGCATTTTGCTTGTTGAATTTAACCATTTGGAACCAAGTAAATGTGCAGCGGAAGCAAAAAGAACAGCGCGATGAGCAGCATATCGGCCACAGTCAAAGAAGAAATGACTGACAGTCTCACTGGTTGAACCACAAGAACATGATGGCGATGGCACGCAATTTATTAAGAACAAATAATGATTTAAGGTACAATGAAATAGACGAAAACGAGTATGAAGTATGGAGGCATAGCGATTACCAATATAGAACAATGAATTTGGAATTGGATCATCACGCCAAACATTGATAAAAAATTCATTGATTTCTTTTGTATTTTCCTCATAACTGTAGTGTAGATAACTTACATGCCTAGTTACCAGGGACGCCGGAACGATGTGAAGGCAAGGGGGGCAGATTTTCGTGAAAGGGCACTTTTGAATTGATATATACTAAGAGATGTTTGCACTTTGAAAAACATCGGGAGTTGAACTTCGCCTAATCATGTTTTTTATTTTTGGATGATAGGGGTGTGAGGGGGTTCTCCGCCAGGCGATTGTGCTATTCTTGAAACTCGATGCTGCATTTCTTGCGTTTTCTGAAGCAAATTCGCAAAAGAATTGCACTAACATTTCTGACAATTCGCCATTTCGCCAAGGCAATCCTTTAAATTGAAAGGGCACCTTTGCCCCCCTTGCCCCTCCTGGTAAAGGGCAACGGGGGGCGGCTGCCCCTCCTGCCCCCCAGTTCCGGCGTCCCTGCTAGTTACTACTGTTTTAGTTTACTGCAGAAGCATATAATAGACCAAAGTACCGAAGCATTGGATACTTGGAGTTATGTATAAGAGTCATTTACTCATGTACATAATTCTAGAGTTTAGTTGGGTATAAACAAACGATAGCCAAATTTGTCTCAGCTTTTCAGGAATTTTTACAAAGGTTTCAAAAATCACTACCAGGCCTCGACTTCATACAATCGGCCCAAGTGCATATGATTCCAATTACCAAAATACCTCGCCTAGTGGGATATTTTTCATGGATTAAGTCACAGCGAGACTGTATATTAAAGCAAATATTTCTCTGAAATAATAATACTAAAAAAGGGCAGCGCTGCCCTCTTTATTTTACCCTCTTGGCATGGTTCCGATATGCATTGTAATTGGGATCATAAGCAAATGTTTCAAAGAATGTGTAGCTATAGTTGTATATAAGATAATATTGTTGCTGTAAAAAGAAAATACAAATAGATCGAGTCATAGTTTGAGGATATCCACTTTTGTAAAACAACAATTGCACTGAATATGCAACGGTGAAGTCGAGCGTTATACTTTTAATCTGCTTTGAAAATCACGTAGGCCCAAAATCTAGGCCCAAAACTCTAAGCCCAAAACTCTTTCAAAGATAATTTTAGTTAAGCGCAGCGGCGGCGGAACAGATTTCATTCTGGGGGGGCTTAATTTTTTTTCCGTGACCTCCCACCCCCCCCGTCGCCAAAAAATTTTCAGTCAGTGTACCATTTTAGGGGTACAAAAATTTTTCCGGACATATACAAGAAAAGGGACGAAAAAAATTTTTCCGCGGACATATAACAAAAATTTTTTCCGGAAATACACAATTTTTAAACAAAATATTGCAAATGTATCCCCTTATACCTAAATTTTCAAAAAATTACCTAAATTTTTCCTTAATTATCAAAATTTTTCCAGAAAAAACTACATTTTCTGGGGGGGGGGGTAAGCCCCCCACTTTTACATCTGAGGGCTGGCACCTATTCCGCGGAAATCCCTGGTTAAGCGAATGGTAGTGCCACGTTAAAAGGAGAAATAGATTTCAACCTTACATGCAGTATGATGCATTGCAACAGTACACAACAGTTGCTACGAAAGGCAAAAGTTGCTTGAGCGGTTGCTATAACTAAGAAAAAGGCAAGGCCGTCGGCAGTAAATCAATATTGGGGGTCTCAAGAATAAATCTGAAAAAAATCTGAATTGCCTTCGCACTTTTCTAGTCTTTTGCCCCCCCAGCCCCCTCTTCCGACGGCCTTGAAAAGGTGCTCACAATACCAAAAGTCGCTCAAAGCATATCAAAGATTGCTTAGCACAACCCGTGAGCGAAATGAGTCTAGTTAGACCAGAATGCATCAAGGTTCAAGTGCCGTTGCTATTTGTCGAAAAGAGCTATATTGATAAGAAATTTGGCCAAAGAAATTTTTTGCCACAACTCACAAGTGGAAACACGAACTCCAATATGGCGGTGCAAATGGAAGGTCAAGGAAGACATGGTCACTTTTTGTTGTTCTGTGACACCTTTAATCATGAACAGAACGAGGTAAAATGTCTTTTGAAATGTTTTGGAAAGTCTGTTGCTTTGATTCAGTGGGTTAGAAGTTGATATTTTAAGTCAAATGCGTGTTTAAATTGCAGGAAATGCATTTGGATCTCGTCAGTTTTCCTCGTCCAGTGTGTATCAGTGAAGTTCGTGTGATTCCCCGAGGAGGGAGGCCTCATCTAGCTATTGATAGACTGGGGTAAGGTGGTCTCATGTTTTGGATAGATGTAGAAGATATATGGTATTTCATATAGCATTAGGCCAATGGGCTATTCCATTTAATATCCGTACCCCCCCTGTCGAGGATCCCTGGAATTCTTCAGGGGTAAAGGGTTTTGAGCTTGGAATTCTTCAGGGGTAAAGTGTTTTGAGCTTGGAATTCTTCA